TACACGGGCTAGCCTCGGCGGTCTTTTATGCAGATTAGGAAAAGCTTTCGATTGTTTCCACAGTCCCATTACGTTTTATTAACTCATTGAGAGAGTTTATGGGTCGGCGTTTTGCCTACTTTTGGTATTTCCTATTAGCTTGACGGCTGATTAAGCGGATATTTAGTTTCCATGAAGCTCTGAGTGTCTGTCGGTCCATATTCATAGTCAAATATTGCAATTTATAACAGTTCGTAATATAAAACGCAACACTGGCAAACGACAGTTATATCTGCAGCCACTTCTAGTCTCAATAATGTTCCCTTTACAAACAATTAAGTAACGAGCGTTCAAATAAAAACGTGGTCAAGTTGGTTCTGAAAATTTGGACGTAGGGCGTAGCGTATAGCAAATGAACTTAAACGTCATCTGTCAAAGCGCTATATCGCCGCTATCAATTTGAATATTTTCGTTTTAAAAAGCGTTTAAAATGGTGTTTTCTCAAGAACAAAAAGTGTTTATCATACAGTCCTACTTTAGAAATGGACGCCGCAAGATTGATGGAATATGGAAGTATTCTATTGAGGAATGTTTCATAGAATTTCAAAATCAATTTCCCGGCGTTGTTGAGTACAAAATTTTTCAAAGTGCAGTTCAGCGATGTGTTAATGTTTTTCGTGAAACGGGCAGTGTAACAAGAAAAGAAGGAAGCGGCCGACCTAAAAAGCGGATTGAAGAGTTAAAAGAAAATGTCCAACAAATAATGGAAAATGCGCCAAGAACTTCTGTACGTGTTTTATCACAAATGGTGGGAGTATCAGTCGGTACCTGCCACACAGTGTTAAAAGAAGATATGCGTTTGTTCTCCTATCGTTTAACTTGTCAGCAAGAACTTCATGAAGTTGATTTTCCGCGACGGGCTGTATTTTGTGAATGGTTTTTAAACAACTACGGTGAACTTCATAATATCACCTTTTTTTCTGATGAAGCCTAGTTTCATTTAAGTGGTTACGTAAACTCACAGAATATGAGAATGTGGTCTTCTGAAAAACCAGATAACTTTTTTGTCGAAGGCCCTCTACACGCTCAAAAAATTGGAGTTTGGTGTGCTCTCAATCGAAGGAGGATTTATGGACCTATTTGTTTTAATGGTACTCTTACTGCGCAAAGGTATAGAGAAGAAATTATCGCTCCTTTTGTTAACCAGCTGGAAGAAAACGAAATTACAAACTTTTACTTTCAACAAAATGGCGCAAGGGCACATACAGCAGGCGAGACGATGAATATGTTGAGGGAAGTTTTCCAATATCGACTAATAAGTCTCAATGCTGAACATGAATTTCCACCGAGGTCATGTGATATTACGCCGTGTGATTTTTTTTGTGGCCTTACCTTAAAAACACTATTTTTGAACTGCCTATTCCTGATTTATACCATCTGCAGGCTCGACATATAGACAAGATTCGTGAAATTAACAATACCCTGAGCATCTTAGAAAATGTCTTTAATTCTTTGAGGAACAGGTGTGAAAAGTGCTTGGAACAAGGAGGGCGACACTTTCAGCAGCTTCTTTAATTGATTGTTATAACAAGGAGGGGGACACTTTCCGCAGCTCCTTTAATTGTTTGTTATTGTTATCACGATTATTCTTTAAAATAAAGTTATATATAAAGTTAACGTTATTGAAACTGACAAATGAGGTTAAGTTGGTCGCTATAAGCTACTCCCTACGTCCAATGTGTCAGAGCCAACTTCGACCACGTTTTTATTTGAACGCTCGTTATTATAAATGAACATAATTTGTTACACATGTATAAGATAGTATTTTTTTACACCCTGTATTACGACCCTATTTTAAATATTACGAGTTCTAAGTTAGAAAGAAGGCACACATTCACCCCGGCATGGCGTCTGGTATCTGTAAACAGCTCGAGTGGCTAGTTAACGCCCAACGGCTTTGTTTAGGTTATAAATTTCAGACAGGCCCTTTCACCTAAACTTTGACCTAAATTTTGAAAAGAGATCACCTTTACATATGACTGTGCTGTGAAAACGTTGTGATTGTGCCACAACATTGGATATTAGGTGAGTTTTCCCTTTCTTACTCTTTTCAACCCTTTATTTCTCCTTACGACAAGCCCCAAAGCTTAAACTTGTAAGATTTGGTGGCTTAGAAACTAACAAACGTGCTAAATTGAACTTACGACGGAATCTTTTGATCATATTTGTAAATAAAATCAGTACGTCCAACCTGCGTATATCATTGGAATTTCAAACATTTTAGATTTAAGATATCAAAAGACGCAATACAAATCGCAAGTATTTTCTGGGCAAATAAATAACATTACATGCCCACTTTTTAAAATTTAAAGTATATGTTTGCTCCTTCAGGGGTTAAATTACATTGCAGAATTTATCAACCGTCTATAGCAGCAAAATTTGTCAAGAACTTAGGGTTTAATATTCCATAAATATTACACAAACTAACTTTATTATTACACAAAGTGTACTTTCTAAAGTACACTTTGGCCAAACTAATCTTGTCGGGACAGGACAAGACTGACAGAGACAGGACCTTAATAGTGGAGAGGTACTATGCAAAAATTTTACTTAGGTATAAAATTATTTAATGAAGATTTTGTTATATATTTAAATATATGTCGGTATCACTTTTGTAACCGCTTATGAAGAACGGCATCACTTCATAGCCACTAGAGGAACTGCCACCGGCGATAGATGGAGGGCTTTAGAACTTTTAGATGTTTTATTTGTTTTGAGACAATTACAAATTGTATAACAATAGTCACTTATGCGTATAGCAGATATTTAAAGTAAAAACAAATGTAACTTAACTTAGGAAGCAAAAAACTCAAACAAGGAATAAAATCATTTGGTCACTAAATATAATTTTAACTTTACTTTAAATTGATAAAAAAGATACTTTATCTTGTCTTAATTCAATAGGTAATTTGTTAAAAATTTTAGGCCCCAAATAATTTGGTGACTTATTGGTAATTGACAATTTAGAAAAAGGTACCCGAATATTATTTTTATGCCTTGTATTTACACCATGTATGTCACTACTTAAATAAAACATAAATACACATATCAAATATAAATAACGTACTTAAAGTTAAAATTTTGTATTGTTTTCGTTTATGTTACAAAAATATTTAGAGTACCAAATTGTTATCTCTTCAGGTGTTTAGTTCTAGTCTATGTGTGAAAGGCCATCATTATCTACCTTTTGTAAACACTTCCTTATATGGTCATGTTTAGTAAAAGTAAACTGGACGTCTATTCTTGAAAGCAAGAGAAGGGAGCTATCCCTGGGAGCTCCCGAGGAGCGTTCCCTCATTTGAGCTCCCCGACAGAAAAACACCGAAATCTTGAAACCTCCAACGTACCGAGGTGTATCAGGGAGGGAGCAAAATCGGGGAACAGCGTTGCCGGTTTGTTCGACCAATGATATTGCAGAAAACTGACAGAACACAGAACGCAGATAAACTTCACTTTTATTTTGACAATTTAATATAAATTTGTGGAGATCGAAATCGAAAAGAATATTTCGAGGGAACCTTATTACATTATTTAGAATTTCAGGTTGGTTTAATGCATTCTTGACATCATTCAGCTCGACTAGCTGAAGTTTGGCTAAAGGCGACAAAACTGTTCGAGCCAGTAAGTTCCTGATAACTGCCTGAAGCATAAAACCTGAGAGCAGCAAGTACCTACAAAAATTGTAAATTTTAATTATTTTAACATAAGTAAAAACCTATTGCATGCTTCAACCACAGATTTTTGTTATGTTAGGCTGTGCCTCAACTAACTACAAATTTCTTACTTACCTTGGTTTGTATGGATAGAGCAGAGGTTCTAAGAAAGGGTTGACCATATTAATTATGTCATGACAGAGGTGCTTATCTACTCTAAATAACTGCAAAAATTTTCTATCAGATACAGATACTTGAAATGCATTTGTCTGGGGCAAAACATCTCTTCTAATAGCCAATTCTGCCACCGCTTCCTCAACATCCTCGTTAATAATGTCATTCCACAGCATTAAATTTAAGTTTTCCATGTTTATTTTAGATTTATGTAATAAAATGTTCAACTCATTTGACATTTTAGGTACTTCAAAATTAAACAAAAACAGACAATTTTAGGTTAGATTTGCTATTTCCCTCAGTCTCTACTAGGAGAACTTTAAGTTCTCTTGGGAGTAGCTCCCTCCCTAAATATTTTTTCAAGAATACCCTGTTGTGCATTTTTAAGAGAACCACGCCCACTTCCCTCACAAGGTCTACTCCCTGAAATTCAAGAATAGACCACCTGATAGGATAGAGGAACGCACAAGGGGACGTCCCTGCGAACGGAACAAAATTGAAATATCAGAAAGCAACCGCATCATTCAGTTGATGAGACAACCATTGCCGAGTGGTTTTTATTATTGCTATTACTGTTCTGATAGAAAAGTAGGCAACGCCAGTGGCGTATCGTTAGTTCCTATTTTATAACTTGTATAACTGCTCCCATACTTTAGTGTTCGAATTCGTAATAAATAGTGTCACGTCACCCGTCTATTATTTTGATGGAGACAAGGGTGCAAACCAACCCCTATGTCTCCCCAGTGTCTCCGACTAAATAAGAAAATTATCTTTGAGCACTGGAAACTCACAGACGCGATTGATTTGGTCAAGCTTGTAACAACGTTTTAATGAATCATTTTACTTAAATATATTAAATATATTACATGACTCTTTTTTGCATGTAATATGTAGAAATTACTTAATTCCGCAAGATTAAGGAACTATTTGTAACGTACTTTGTATTATATTTTGTAATGTATCGTTTGTGATATATTTTTTTTTATTTCTACATTTTTCTGGGTAATTTCTTTACTACTCTGTAACTAGGCTCCATTTCGTCGAAAAAAGTAACCAGATAAATAAATAAATATCCCGAAATGGTCTCAGATCTGTTTCTTAAGGAACAACATATGAATCTTCCTAAATACGTACCTGGTAGATTTATTCCCGACATCAGTAGTTTCTCTGGAAGTTCGTTTATCCTTTTTGGCTTGGCTATTTCTAATTTCTTATTCGATGCACCTATAACAAAGAAGAATAGTTTAGTTATCCATAAGCAATCTAAATTAATATTTTCTTAAGTATGTGCTTCCTGTACGTTTTGATTAAATCATTGAAAGTTTGTAGACGTAACGGTTATTATTTGTAAGAGCAATCGTATAAAAGTAGTCGATGCATGTATGCACACATTGATTAAACAACATTCGCGCAGCATGATTATTGATTTATTAACGTAAGGGTAAGTCGATTAAACTTAATTTAAAACACTTGTGTTTGATTGACATTCGCTTTCGATAAACATATGCACGTTGTGTACTCTGAAAAAACAAAAAGTACTTAATGGATTCGCAGCTGAGGACGTTAATTGTTTTTGCACCACTAAATGCACGTACTCCGTCCATATTCGTATAATTGAATTACCAGCTAAATCACAATTAATTGTGATTTAATTGACGTTGATATCAGATCCAATTTAAATGATTTATCTCTTTAAATGCAGCAGTTGTTTGATTTCTACGTTATATAACCACTTATTTAGATAGCAGATCAAATTAATGTGGAATTACAAGGAAATGTTTTGGATTATAAACAAATTTTAAATATTGTTATTAAAAAACTTTAAAAAAATCCACCAATACGGTATTTAAAGTATGCAACAGCCAAATTTAAATCTAAAATCACAGATGTAATTAAAAACGTGAATTCACCTTCTAATACAAACAAAAAAATATTTTGTTTTGTTAGTTGAAAGAATCAACTAAGTTATCAAATTTCTGGTACCATTATATTCTTCTTCTTCTTCGTGTGGTTAGTTCAAGTCCCATAGCACGTATGTTAAAACCTGTTCAGCAAGTACCTTTGTCCTTTTAACAAAATCCAAAAGTTCCCTTACTGACACTTCTCTCAACTCCTTGGGTTCCAAAGAGTTTCATCCGTCAAAGTCAGAAGACTCAGTCTATTTGCCCAGAGCCCCCCTACCACACTGGGAGATGTTCCACAGAAGACCTCCGGACCAATGAAATCAATTTCGAATCCGTTCCTAGCAAGTACATCCGCTGTCTCATTTCTGTCAATGCCTTTGTGTCCTGGCACCCAACACAATCTTCCTGTATTAGTGGTAGTCAATTCTCTGCTAAACGGGCCATTATAGCGAAAATAGCTGCTCGAAAGTCTCTAAACTTCTTGCCTTTTTTTTTGTAGGTAGAGATTTTGGAAAATGCAAATATTGGCACATTTCCTTTGCATTTCTGTTGAATGGAATTCAATTTACTTACTGCCAATAAATATTTATAGGAGCTGCTGCCTTTAACATCATATTGCATCATATTTATATTATTTTTTTTTCTAGAAAGATTTTAAAAGAAGTACTTCTAACAGATTATTACCAAACCTTCCTTCTACAGCCTCGAAGTATAGAAAATAAATTCCTTTACGTGCTTCATTTAACTGTTTTGTATAAAAAAATAAAAAAAAAAACAAGAATAAGTTAAAGTATTCAACTCCGAATATCGATGTTTATTCAGACGTTTCTCAAAAACGTATAGATCTATTAAATTACCCATTATTAATGTATGGGCAGGAATAGTGGGTAATAAGTGGATAGGTCCATAAGTTTTTGAGGAACGTCTGAATGGACATCGATATTTGGAATTTTTGCAAAATAATTTGCAGCCACTATTAGAGGATGTTCCATTAGACACCCGAAGAAACGTTTGGATCATGCACCATGGGGCTCCTCCCCATTTCAATATTGATGTAAGAAATTATTTATCCATTGTGTTTAATAATAATAAATGGATTGGGAGAGGAGACCCAATTTCTTGTCCACCACGTTCTCCAGACTTTAACCAACCCTATTGACTTCTTCCTGTGGGAATACCTGCAAAGTTTTGTGTACTCATCCCCAGTACAGACAAGGGATGAATTGCTACAAAAAATTAAACTGGATAGTATTAGACATATCCCGAAAATCTTTTTTCGTGTACAAACAAATAACATACGTAGACTTAGAATGTGTGTGGAGGTGGATGCTAGGTATTTTGATAATTTTCTTTCTTTTAAATTATTTTTTTAACTTGCTTTAACTTATTCTTGTTTTTTTTCTCTATTTTGTGTTATGTGTAAAGTGTGTTTGTTAAATTTTGTTAGTGAAAATTACGTTAGCAGACTAGGCTTTTATTTTAAAAATATGTACGGTTCTAACATAGTAATTATGTTAATTAAAAATTAAAAACAAAAATTTTATCGAGTTGAAACAAGAGGGTATTATCGTTGGCAAATTCTTCAGGGAACTTATTTTTGATGCAGGCAGATTGCGATAGTCATCTATGCAAAGTTCTGGGTTGTTAACCATTGGGCATATCCCTGGCGTTCTGGGCATAATGAAGTTTTACTTACAACATCAAAAACAAGTTGTACGCATGTGTTATCGATCACCAAATTTGCATCATGCAAAAGTTAATAGTTTAGAGACTAAATAAAAATAACTTTTTAATTTTCACCTTTGAGGGCCCGTAACTTGTTAACGAAGGCCCGTATGGAAAAAATTTATATGAAGAACTGATGTTATTTTGACTTCATATATTTATACTCAACTTTTTTTGTATCAAGTACCAGGACACCCTGTATATTTCTTCTTTATTTCCTTCTTTACTCTTATAAAAATCTTAAGTAAAATTCGTTTTGGAAGAGCGGGCAGTGTTTTCTGTCATAACTTGTTTGATATCAATATTTTAAAAATTCTGCGAAATAAAATGCGAAAGGTTTGAACAATTTTAAATGAAAAAGGTACCGCTTCGAATCATCATTTTGACATTTTAGCATAAATAAATGTTTTAATTTGTGAAGAAAAATTAAATCAGTCAGGGCAATTAATTTTGAGCAGCCCTATATTACTTGGTGAGTCCGTGGGTTCGAACTATCGAATTTTACATGAAAGAACATAGACTTGTTAATTATCAAAGGAAAGCATTCAGCTTTTTAAATTAATAACATTTGATGGGCTGCAGCACTTTAGAGGCTATGGTTCCTTCTTACTCTGTCGACTATTACCAATATTCAAAATTTGTTATAATTTTTTCTAAATCCTTGTATATTGACATGAATCGGAATTTTGAGTTTCAGTATTAGGATGACGATAGATTAATGTCAAAGAATGACAATGTAAGAGTTGATACATAAGTTTGAAATTAAGATGACAATTAGATGCAAAATGACAATGACAAATTAATAGAAGTGGTCATAAAATAAGGGTATTTAGCAAAATAAGGATTAAGTAGTATTGGAAATGTATAAAGTAAATAGTACTCTGATTGGTTAAATTAAAAAGAATAAATTAATAAAAATTGTACCTAGTTAAAAATAAGAGTGCAGTGCAGTGGTGATCAGAGAGACAAAAAAAAATAAGAGATACTAAACTACTAAAAAAACATTTAACTTTTTTTTTTAAATTTGCAATTTATATTTCATGATCAAATTGAGTGATAACAAATAAAAAGCTAGCCTGGTAAGTAATAAAAATATATTTTCTAAAATAATATTCAAAATTTATAATATTTCCACTGACGCTCAACATTACATATTACATAGAACTACACAAACATTAAAAACTAATTATNTTAAAAGATTATAAATTTATAATTTATTATGTCAATATAAAAATTTAAACATAGATTACAACAATACTATTTAATTTTTTTTAACAAAGTTAATTACAAGTAAAACCTATCTTGTTAACCTACTACTGAGATAAGACCTCACGTTCTATTAAATTTGACGTATATTATTTATACAAAATTGACCTAATTAATCTAATTGTCATTAAAATTATCAAACGTAAAATAGAATCCCATTTTAAATCAAAAATACTTTATTAAAAAAAAAACATAATTTTTTTTTAATTTGCATATTTCAAGATCAAATTGAGTGATAATAAATAAAAAGTTAGCCTGGTATGAAATAAAAATATATTTTCTAAAATAATATTCAAAATTTATAATATTTCCACTGACGCTCAACATTACATATTGCATAGAACTACAATAACATTGAGAACTAATAATTATCTTAAATTATTTTATTACTAGTTTACTGAACAGGTCCTTGATTAATATGTATTGGTATATTTGATATGAAATGTTTATGCTTCCAGTTATCTCAATTTGATTGCGCATGGAAAATTCAAGAAGATAATTAAAATGATTACGTGAGTAATTTTAACACAGAAAGAAACGACGTTACGTAAGAATAGTGTAAATTTTCCAGTGGCTTTCTAACAGGGACAGTTATTACACCAACCAACAAAGTTGTGACTGCGAATTCCTCCAGAGACTTTTACCCAAAGATAATCACGAGGTACTTCAATAACTTTTTTATTGACCATAGAATCGATCGGTGTCTAGGCAGTAAATTTAAATTAAATCTCATTTATAATAGTTTTACGAGCCCATTGAACTCAAGTGTAACATAAACACTGAATTAGTGAATAAAACACTGCGTAGCCGAGGCACGGTGAAGTGGCATTATATAATAGAGCCTTAGTAGGGGTATGCATGGAGAAATATTTGATATCGCACATGCAGGTGTTCTATGAACCTAACAAACGATAAATTAGTGCCCAGGTTCTTTGTCACATGGAAGTACAACAGTTGTTGAATAGCGAAACAAACAATGGGGGTTATTGGATAAATGGTTGGCTTAAGTTACGGCTGGAGTTAATGACAATAACGATTACGTGGAAACACCGGCGCATTCCATTAATTCTTTATAGAAATTAAATAATACCGACGTTTACAAACTCATTTAGCAATTAAAACAACTATTTTGAGATTTACTCAAGTGGAAGCACCCAATATAACGGCTCATATAATTTATTTGTCTCAGTAAAGCAGTATCTACGTATATAAAAATTAAGTCAGCCTGGAAAGAGAACAAGTTGTTAAGAAACGCTGAAGATTCGACGAGGGAGAGTATTGAACAAGATCCAGAATACATCGTAGTGAGCTTTGACGTGAAGCAATTGT